ATATATATATATATATATATATATAATAGACACACAAAGAATGATGGCATAAGATTTTGAGACAATTATTGTCACTACATTAATAATAGCAATGATAATAAAAAATTTTTTTTCATTGAACAAAATAAGGAAAAAGATGCAAAACGGTGACGAGATGGCAACAATGAAAGTGTTGTAAATGCATAAATAAGCGATATTCCATCCAAAAAATAAACAGTATATCCACTTATTTGAATTCACTCAATCAGATAATCAAACAATCGAAGAGATAAACGCATGCACAGACAATTCAAAATTCAATTGACATTATCGAGTGCGCAAACTCTGAAAGTAACTGTAAACATTTAAGAAATAATTTTTTTGCCTCCCACCCCTCCCCCCGGAAAAACGCGATTTTGGAAATTTTGTGAAAAAAGTTACAAAAGAAACGTTAAGCTCGTTTTTTCCATCGCTGTCTTTGCTCATCATCTTCGGCTTTAAACTTAATTTCCCCTCTTATTTTGCTGTCCATCCATCCATCCATGCTTTCTTGTTATTTGGAATAAAAATCAAAAAAAAATATTTTTTGTCATTTCAGAGAGATCAATCTGTATGTTTGTGCCTGCCTGTGTTCTTAATTCTTGCAGGAATCCAGTCTAGCCGATTGATACGAGAGCAGTATTAATGTTACTGTTGTTGTTGTTGTTGTTGTATAATGTTTCGGCCACACGTTCGTCTAAATAAGAACTTCAGGTTGCCGTAGTTTTTGTTGTCGATACTGCCGATATGGTTGTTGGAAGTGCTGATTTTGAAACGATTTTTGGTGCTGCTGTTGATTATGGCCTGGACTGCTCGTATTCTTATGATGATGATGGCCTAGGCTATCACCATTATTAGAACTATTATTATTGTGGTTGTTGTTTCTGTTATTATTATTATTAGCATTACTACTAGCATTATGATAGTTCAGATTGACAAGCAACAATAATGTTGTTAACCACTTTGTCCAACGAACGCTATGAAACATTTGCAAATGCGAATTAAGTTTTGCACTGAAGTAGTGGCACACTTGTGAGATTTTTGCGTTCCTACTCAATGTTATTGCCAGCATTATGATCGCTCTGTCTTCTGCTGTACTCATCTGGCCGCAAACAATAGACGTTCTTGTCTGATTGCTGCTGATAATTTTTTAATGATTCAACTTGTTCGCTTCTGTCACTGTTATCTTATTGCGCTTTGCAATATTCACGCATCCAATTTCAAATATGCAAATGTAGTGCTGACGGCAAATGCACTTGACCATCTCGAGCCGGTATTTCTATTACTACTACTATTGATACTGATATCATTACTGTTATTACTATTATGGTTGATTATTATTAATTAATTAGCGTACCAATAATAATTATTATTAATTATCATTATTACTATTATTTATATCATTATTATTACTATTAATAATGTTATTACTTGTGTTATTGTTGTTACAGATGGTGTATTTCTGCTGTTGAACAGGTGGTGAGGATGGTGGTGTTTGTGGTGAAGAAGATTGTGATGAGGTTAACGATTTCCTTGCGGCGGTCACATTGTCGCCTATAGCGCCGGCGTCGGGCAAAATTGGTAAAGGTTTAGTGTTACGACGAGCGTATTGCATGAGTGTTGTGCGAAAAGCGTTCGAAAAAGTGAAATAAATGACGAAATTAAACGACGAATTGAATACAACAAGCAAATTTGATGCGTCCACCACGTAATTGATATGTGGTCCTAAATATTCAGCTAGTCTTGCCTCGAAAACGTTCAACAGTAACGCCGCAACATTACAGCCAATGAACAGCAGCACAACCAGAACCTGAAATGATAAAAGATTTTTATGGAATGAATTCCGTTCCTTTCTGATACCGTCATTATCGACATTGAATCATTATTATTGCTTTTTTCATGAAATTTCTTGATTTTCTACAATATTTTGGGACGAGGTCCACGAAATTCGCTGATCCTCGCAACACACTAGATAAAAAACTGTTGAAATTGGCAATTAATTTATCTCACTATTATAGTTAGTTGGTTCAATGATGACTACATGCATTCATTTCAATCATTCATTCATTTAATGAACAAATGATGTTGTTCGCACTTGTTTCAATTATGGTGTGGTTTCTTTGAATTAGGCAGATTACAAAAACAAGCTTTTTTTTGGATGGGAAAGGGAAAATAAGATTGAGCGAAAGTATTAAGTAAGTTATGTTTTCGTGATAGCTGAACGCATGTAGACGAAATCTCAAATTTCGGCCTAACAACATACCATTCTCATCTCGAAGACATTAGGCATTTTTCAGTGAGTCGTCGTCAGTGCCACATCAATGAGTGGTCAGATTGAATTTGCTTGTTATGATGCTAATGCAAAACACTCAATTTTATCGAATGCACGCCCAACAAAATGCAACGAGTTCATTCAATTCGACTTAATTCAGTTCTAACAAAAAACTTTGCATAGAATGTCATCGAGAAAGACAACCGATTGTTCGTAACCCTAATGGCTGGTCATACTGACGTTTTATCAGCGACTTTCATTCGTTTGAACCACCACTAAGGGTTTGTGCAGTTCAAGAACTGCGTCTAAAGCCGTGCAAGTGAATGTGCTCGCATCTCTGTTTGTCGCATCATACTCGCCACTTTAGTTACTCCACGATCACGATTCACTGATCGCAGTTCGGATCAATGGAAAATGAAAACATGCTCATGATTGCAGAGTGCAAATTTAATTGAACATTAAACAAGATATCAACAACTCACTAATGCAATCGTATCACCTGAACTTGTTTCTGAATCGCCGCCACCAGCAGTTTTCGATAGAACTGATGCACCAATAATGCATAAATTCAGTATGACAAGCACCACTAGTGGACCGACCGCAAGAAACAGTGAATACATATATTTATAATATACTAACATGTAACTGAAATTTGAAATGATCACCAAATATGTTTACTGAATAGATTCAAAACAAAAGTGCATTTCGAATTTTGTGAATACTCCAGCAGGTTTAATATTGCTCTTCTTATGGGTTCAGTTAACTGAAATGAGAACAAAGCATTCGAAGGATCATGAATGATTGCCATATGATAGCAAGTATCATTTGCAGTTGTGTCATAGCTGAAAAGGAACAGAGAAGGCATTTCTTCGTAAATTCTGAACATTCCACTGATTATTCACTAATGAAATTTCGACAGTACTTTGTTTGTGCCAACAGTACGCTCAGATCTCAATCCCCAGAAATATCAGAACATGTCCGGTAGAGCAAGTTTTGAATTATTTATGAAAAAATCTAGAGATACAGCTGCATTTGTAAAGGCAACTTATATGACTGATTGGATTTCTCGTTTATCTGAACCTAATTATATCTGAACTAATTTGATCTCTGTATTGATCGACAAAACAACATCATGAAAATATAAGGGGTACCATATTCAAGCTATCAGTATCCTCAGATTCTACAGAATAGTCATAATTTTTTGGTTTAAGGAGATAGCACAGATTCTAAACCAAAAGAAAAGTATGGTGTCTCTGTTGAAAAAATCTCAATTCCAGAAATACAGCTACATGTTTGAAGAGATATGTACATCTTCGTTGGTAGAATCCGTTACCAACTCTTTCTTGATGAACCGTTAGATTAGAAAGTGTTGGAGAATTTATTTGATTAAAGAATTTGTAGAATGAAAGAAGTGATAAAGAACTGTGAACGTTACGTTGGTAAGTAACGAAATGGATCAGGGCACACTTCGAATGAGCGACTTTGAAAGCTTAAATGCCAACATTCGAGCACGACTGCCTCAAAACAATGCGGTATATTGTAAGCGACACTGAATACCACTACAAATAATATTGTACATCTGACGAATATTGTACGTGATACAACGATTCGACATCGTTCCGGTAGACAAACCTGAAAACCACTCAGTATAATTTGATTTCTTATTGATTGCATCTTAAGAAAATAGAATAGAGCTTGCCAGACGTCGACTAGAAAGCCGTAAGATTTCAATACTAATACATGCACAGCTTGAGTTCCTGGAATTAATCTGGCTGACTGGCGGTCTTATTCGATATGCGCAACACTATTCGAACCATTACAACAATTTTCAATTAACGTACTGCAACGAGTCGTTTATAAATGTGATATAGCAAAAACTGTTCGGGAACAATATCATCAACCGTGAATTTCTTCAGATACTCACCGAAACGAGGCTTTCTTTCGAGAAATATCATTGAAAAATAAAACTGGAATCAAGAAGGAAGAGTCTGATGAAATTTTGCGCAACAAGATGAGCTGAACACTTGGAATCGCTTTCGCTTTTTGTTGAACTGTATGGTTGCATTAAAGATTCACTTATGGGATTACAGCAATTCATTGATAGCGAAGCATCAAGCAAATCTTTCGATTTCACATAGGCCGGCCTTGAAGATACTTGTTTTCATCATTTGCAAGTGCATTGCTACCCGAGTATTCTCATTAATCAAGTTGCTACAAATCAATCTGAAGAACTTTTGTCGAAGAACTGAAATTGTTCGCGCAATAATTATCCACTCACTTCCAGAAGATACAAAATCGAAACATTTGAAGCATCTCAGTGAAATTGAACATCTTTTCTTTTCGAAATTTTTTTCTGCGTACATCATTAATGACAATCGATGTTATTGTGTGCATTTTTGTTAATTTCAGCTCGACAAAAAGAACATTTTCAAGTGTGGTCCCATGTGATTTTAATGTTCACAACAGACTCGTGCTATTGCTTTATTGCGAAAAGAATTTTCGTCCCTAACTCTGAATTTTATTCTTTCAGAGTCGTCAACAAATGCATAATTCATGCAATGAATTTCATTTAAATCTTTTTCTTCCTTATCTCATCTTTCACGTCCGTTTTTTCGACAAATGTGTAGTCCATTTTGTGATTCCCAAAACAATCAACTGTCAACACTTTATCATCCACCAAATGCACCATCTCTGAACAGGTTCCGCTGCTTTCAAATCATCCAACGAATATGGCGAAAATATCTTCTTTTTGTCTTCATCCATTGGCCGTAATTTGTCCGCAATTCCAATTGTAGCCTCAGCTTCAACTCATCTATCGTTCACTATCCCTTCATTTCCTCTCATTGCTATCCGAAATTATACCATTATCCCAAAATGATCCACTGATGTTTACCAAAAAGGCAAAAAATGCCACCACTTAAAAATGGAAACCCACTTGTTTTCAGATCGAGACCGCAAACTAGAGGCAATGCACATAAATGTCTACTGAGAGATCGGATAATGAAAGCCAACAGCAACAATATCGAGAGTTACATATATGTATATATGTTAATTCTGGTTTATTAGGATAGACGTGAATGGTGACGCTAAGGAAAGGAATGATCGTAGCACAAAAATCATTGAACAGCTGATGAAAAACAGTAAAGAACGATGAAATTAATGAGCTAATGACTAATAAACAGATAAACGAGTGAAAATTCTACCTGCACAAAGCAGTCTGCACCAGCCACTAAAGTGAAATAAACGGAGCAAGTTTGTGCGGTCATTCCGGCCGGATAGACGATCGGCGAGAGTGCACCAAACAGCGTGGATAAATGAAGCGAATATCGTCGAATACTATCGATACAGAACAAAAATATTGCAGTACAAATCACCGCACTATCGCTGCAACCCAATGCACATAGATATAAGTTCGTCGATGAACGCATTTCTGAAACGAATTCGCTTTATGAAACCTTTAACAACTGCATTTATTCCAATAGAAATGTGTCCAGAATCTTTATCTTGTGAATATTTTTTGAAAATTTCGATTCATATTTTGTTTCCAGTATCTGTTTCAGCGAAACTTTCAGAATCTTTCACCATTTGATTCATATTTTGTGACGAATTATTACGAAGAAGTGAGTTTGTATGCACATTTGTAGAAGTTTACCTAGATGCGGGAACGGAATTTAATTTCACCGATAAGTTACCCTGTAATTACTCTATGCTATTAATACTTAAAGTTAACACCTGTAGTACTTTTTCTTCAGCCGATTCCAACAAAAGTCTTACCTTAAGATCAACCAGTATTGAATCTATCGTCAGAATGAGAGATGAACTGATAGTAGATTCACTAGTAAAGGTTGAAATATTGACTTTTGGAATTCCGCTTCCGATCTTCTCAATATTTTAGCCTTATGACTGACCAATAATTCATAGACTCTATTGGTTCCGTCAACGACGTTTTGCAAAGAAATTCGATGAAAATTTCAGCTCGACTCGCTTGAGAAGAATAAATCCAAAAAAAAAACACCTCCGTATTAAGCTGTGAATGTTTGGGCTCAACTCATAACGTGAACCAACGTCAACGATTGTTGATGATCGTATTATTAGGCTTGATTTTATCGAAAAGTAAACGCAAAAAGAAAGCAAAAACGTTCGAATTCAACAATCAATTTTGTTTTTAAGAGCCACTCACTAAGCAACATGCCATTTATTTACTCGTTTGTACACTTGTTTTAGTGATGCATTATGCTTCTATCATATCACATTTTTCATACACACTGTGAACGATCAAATATCCAGATCGACGTAGTCGATTTAACATGCATGATTATCATTGATCGTGATAATGTGAAAGTATTCGCATTATTAGAATTCCTTTATCGCTTCAAGTACTTATACTGTTCAAGTCCTTTGGAAGTCATTCAATTGATAGCTATCAAGAGTGTTGGACACGCTATTGAAAAAAAAGTATCTCGGCTAATTGCTAATCTAATGGAAAAATATTTTTGTTCCATTAAAAATGATATCCACTCACATTTCCTTCTAGTTGCTGACGAATTTTTTACTGATAATAACGTAATAACGTTTTGAAATCCTTCACTTAACATATACATTCTGACAATGAGGTGACGGGTTTTGGCCAGCCTACCAGTGAAATCATTTGGAAACTTAGCAACAGTGATTTCTCGTACCTTAAAGATTTTTGAATTAAGAGACGAGACTTTGGTGAGAAATACCCGGACCACCTGGTCTAGTTAAGCAATGAAATCTTCTCATCTTTCGGATAAATAAATCATTTTGTCATTGAAGGTAATCTAAGTCCCTCAACATCACCTAAAGTTTTCTGATAGCAGAGGACTTCGACTAACCGCTTGAGCCAAGAAACCATTATGTTGCTAGCAAGAATAAAGGTCATTGTAGCTTGAATATGGAGCTCATAATATTTCTGTAGTAGTATGGTTGATTTTAAAACTATTTTCTAAGTTTGTAGAACTTTAATACGAGTGGTGAAGTGAGAAAATCATGCTTTGAAATGATATACCTATAAGTGGTATGTCTGCATACTTCTGAGTGACTAAGTGATACTGAACGGATGTCGAAGTTGTGGAGGTAGTACCTCTACAAATCAATGTGCTCGTCATTACAGTTTTGCGAGACTGGAATTAGGAACGAAGTATTTGACGTGGATATTTTCACTCATTATTTGATCTTCTTTTCCACCTGAACTCATGATCAGAAGTGGTTTTGTAAAATCAAAGAGCAGATTCGAAATTAGTTGACTGTGTTCTACAACAAGATTTAAACACGTTCTGTCTCGGAACATTGGCAGATGCTTGCAACATAGTTTCGTAAATCGAATTGGCCTTTCGGTTCGTAACTCGGAACTATTTCCATGTGGTTTGCCGATTTCAGATCTGGCCAAAGATGTAATTTGAAACATATGCTAAGGTATAAATCAATCTGATCCACGAATAACAAATGATTCATTAAACTACGAATCATACAAGAGTTAGATGTTTTGATGTTGAGAAAAACAAGCATTCCCTTGCAGACGAAAAGCAGCGATTAAGCGGAAGTCTGAAAAAACAGCAGATCGCTGAAACGCTATCAAAAGAAAACAGTGCAAGCCATCGTTATTTTATGCGGCTAGAAAATTATTGCAGGAGATGTTATCGCTACAAATTTTCGCCATTTGAAAGAAGTAGCTAACTATCGCACTACCGGATAAGATTGCTTCGCTAATAGCCGAATAGCGAGTAGCGCGTAATTGTCCACCACTAGCTGATAAAGCTGTAAAAACATAAGGCTACTTTCGCCCTTTAAATTCAAACGATGCTTAACTCAGATGTTGTATCTGCAACATCTGAGTTAAAGAAGCAATAATGAGATGAAGTAGTTGCAAGAGAAATTAAAATCACTAACCATTTCGACTGTAAACGAACGCACTCAGGCCATTACCGATAAGGCCACAAAAACCGACAAGCGGTAAAATAGCACCAATGAGAAACAAATTAAAAATATTATATGTTGGATCGGATGCGAACGTTTGACACATACCACAATGTGGTAAGCATGATGTGAAATTAGGCCAGACGATGATATGGTATGCATATAACATTTGTAGACGACTGAATGTTTCGTTGGATTGTGGCGAGGATACACAGTGCGACGGTAGATAAATACCTGGATCTGGTGAAAGTGGCAAAGAATATGAAGGTTGTTGAGAGGCCGATGAAGAGCTCAGTTCTGATGATTGTTCTAGACCGTCATCCATTATGGTTTAGCTGCTTATGTTCTGCACAAAGTAGAGAGACAGTTAATGGCTGCAGGAACGGATGGTCGATAGATTGTTGGTTTGGCACTTGATTCGATTAACTTTAATTTAGTTGGATGACAATTTTGCTGGATTTGAACCTCCTCTATCACACTTGAGTTGTCGGGATTCGCCGTTTCACGCAGCTGTTAGAGGGAGCGAAATGTATGGATTATTTGTTATAGATTATTACTAGTATTGTTAGTGTTGTTGTTATCTTGAATAATACTGCGATTCTGATTGCTGTCAGTATAATTGTTACTGTTGCTAGCACCAATATTGCTATTCATCGACGGCCTGAAAATTCATGAATATTGATGCTTATTAAGGTCAAGATTTTGATGTTTTCAATTAAACACTGAGAATGTGATGAACTCTTGTTGAATACAGAATGACAAGTATATCAACGTGATAAGGTGTACAAAAAGCGCAAAGCGGAAAACTAAACTTGAACATTAGCCGGAGATCATATGAGATACTTGTTGAGACTAGTCTAAGTTCAAGTTTTAAATTCAACCTCTTTTCTCGAATGAAAAACGTATTGCCTTGAGGACCGAAAGGCTGCAGCACATTAAATTTAGCGCATATCTATCACATTTTTATGACGCAGAAGGTTTAGATTGAATTTTGGCCAGCATTTGATTGATATTTGAAAGTATTTCTGAGCGATACATTGATTCGTGCACATCTGTGCTCGTGTGTACATACATTAACTGAGAGCTAAGATTGAAATTGAACTCGTTTCAATAATACTCTGATGAATTTCTTTTTAGTTGGTTTTGTGAGACACATGGGAGTTATGTCCATTCAGTAAATCTGTTCCGCTTACAAGTTCAGTCCACTATGCACAAACATAAAACTTATACATGAATAAGAATTATACATGCACGTCATCAATGTAAAGATAAAATTTACATACAAAATTATGCAAATTGAAATGAGGAAAGCTAAGAGAATTCGTTTTTTGTGCTTTCAGGCGATCAACTGCTGATGTTATATCACTAGTTGTGATTATAATTACGTTTTTCAATCATCTTCAAATGCGATTCAGTTGGTTTAAATCTTCTGATGTTGTTTCATCTTTTTGCACAAAATAATATCAAGATTTTGCAAAATTATGGAGAAACGTTTAGACATGACGACATCAAGCATTTCTGGATAGAGGAAAATGTGAACAGATGCTAGCGTAGCTCATGTTCAAACTGAAGATTAAATCAAGCCAATATGTTGTTTAGGTCTCAAGATTCGGACTGATGTGAAATCTAGACGCAGTTCCATAATAGTTCTGAATCAGGTCGACTTTCTTTTGTTGCATTCACTGAGAACAATCAACCGATTTTCATATTTTAGCGATACTTGATTCTTTAGACGGCTGTAGATAATTGCACCGCACTAACATATACTACAGTCGTCCACAGTGCAAACGTAGTTTGTTTCTGCTGTAGACTTTAATGCTGCGCAAAGAGATCGATAATTAAGCATTACGTGAGGATGAATGAGTGATGGAAGATGACCTGTTGCTGTGCTTGGGATGATACTTTCATGACAAGAAAACAAATGAATGACCAGACCTGTCGAATTCTCGAGGTGTGATTACTCCCTCAAATTAGTGGCTGTCCTATGGAAGTAGAGGAGGCTAGCAGCAACAGTGGTGGCAGTAATTCATCACTTCTTCATTTTATAGTAAATGAAAATGAAATAAAAATGACAACTGATCAGTATCTTCTTTCATCTATTGGTCGCTTTATCCAAATATCTAGTATTTGTTAATCAATTTGCTCTTATCGTTTTAGTCCATTTCGATTGGCTATCTCATTTAAACATTCGCTTACTCATTTCACTTCGTCTCATCATCTACGTTCCAAGCAATAATAGTATCAACATTCAGAGCACACTATATACTTCATTCGGTAATCCAAACTGCTATAAAAGCAATAAAATTAAATTGATTAAAGCAAAATGATGCCATTTTTTGGACGGCTAACTGAATGTAGGAGGCAGTATTTACGATCAAAAATAAATCATGACAAGAAGTACATCGTTCTCTCTATTTCGTTTTCCTTCTTCCTCGATCAACCTATTTTAGTTTCCATCGATCTACACACCTATTCTAGTTGGATCTCGTCTTATCGAATAACACCACGACGACAGCAGCAGCTGCAGGAGCAGTGAGATTTTAGTGTGAACGACAAGAGAAATCAAATCAGTTTGGGGAAACAACTGAATGTAATGATCGAACAGAGGTACATGTGTATTTGAATGGATGAATAGGAGAATTTTACACAATACAGAAGGTGAGAAGTTGGTCAGAAACGTTGTCTTAATGCAGCTGTCTCTGTTTAATGCATGTGTTACATATCAAACTACCTTTGGAACACTCAACAACGAGCGATAATCATAAGTAATCGACAGATGAATTTTCGAAACAAACAATCGATCACCGATGAGTGGATGAATGTACAAATCTAGCCCAGAGCCTCGAAGTAAAATTGATAATAGTAGTTGATAATGATAGTATACAATGAATGTAGAGCACCACATAAATTACTGAATGAAAGTATCATAGTTTAGAAAAATATCACTCTTCTCACATGACTGTATAGTTGCTGCTTTGCATTACCAAAGCTGATCCAAAGCCAAACAAATTAACTAACAGAACAATATGCGTACAAATATGAGGCTAAGAAAAACATGTCCTTCAGTTTGAAAACATGAGTTTCATTCTAAAAATTAGTTTGAAAGCTCGTCGGATCAAGATCTTTCTTTGAACTTGAGCACCATAACGCAAGAATTTCGACTTTCGAAATCTTCCCGATCACACCCTCTAAAATCAAGTTTTTTCTGATTGGAAACAGTCATTATGAAAGTTCATCAAAGACAAAATTGGTTTGAACGGTCACACCGTCTACGCTGTGCTCTTTGGCATCTCAGACAAACAAAAAGAGTTTGACTCAGCGGTCTTTCATAACAATTCTATTCAAACAAAGTTTCACATTGATTGTTCTCAAATTGCATCGCAGCTTGTTGAGTGATGAGAATTCCAAAATCTGAGAATCGCGCACTATGGCACCTCTAGCGAAAAATAAGTTAACGCATTGTAATCAACGTCCTAAAGCAATTTTTTAAGTCGAACATTCGCATACGTTTTTTTCTGAGCCAAAATACATTTCTTCTGAAACGACGAGAGCTTAAAGAAATTCCGAAACCTAAAAAAAANAAAAAAAAGATCTTCACCTTAATGTACATATGAGATATGAGAACGACGCACTTGATTACTGCTATTGTGTGAAGGTGGAAAAAATGAGTACGAGAAAGAATCTATGGAAACATTCGAAGTTGTGCACAATGGCTGATAGAAGAGCGGAGAATATGTGATCGATGTGAAAATGTTCCGTCTAGTCCGAAGCCCGAAACGCAGAATAATTGAAAGATTCGGCTCAAAAAAGAAAAAAACGATAAACCCAAGAAGACAAATTAATGTTCGAACATGTGCGCATTTTGTGTATGTGAAATGTTTTGTAATGAAACGTTCATGAACAATGGTAAAAACAGAACAGAACATCAAAAAGTTGAGCAAACTGAAATGCTGAAAGCAAAATTTGATGAATTTCGAAAGCAAATCAATAGAGATATTGCTTGCAGAATAGTGCATGCTTGAAGCTTTGCTTCCATTGTAAACCTAGTGGAGTGCGGATTTTTATTAGATGGAATGAAAAATGCGGCATAACATATGGATGATGATGATGATGATGACAATAAATAATTGAGAAATTCATGGATGGATGAGAAGATATGGAATGAATGATCAATTAAAAATGAGTAATTCGATTTGGAGAAAAAAAAACACTTGAAATTTTATGATGCTGTTATAGGTAGTAGAGAGCACCGGTAAACTTAATGTAACAATAACAATAGCAACAGTAAATAAAGAGAACTTGTGATATACGAAATTCCGTTAAAAAAGGTGAAACTGAAATAGCGGTTCAAGTGAAATTGGGAGAAGATAAATGAAATGCTTGTGGTTCATGAAGGAACAGATCAATTGTGAATAAATCCTGAAATACGCTATCATTTTTCGTGATAGAGAGATGAAGATGTTATGATGATTGATGAGAAGTTATGAAAAAATGAGTGAGTGATAACGAATGTTCATTTGATATGGATAGTGGTTAGTTACTGTAGAGTGATGTTTAAGAATGCGCAATGATCATTCAAGCGTATGACTGAGCAAGAAATGATCGCAGATGAGAACAACTCTGTATGAGAGCTCCTCGAAAACGAAGATTTAATCAGTGTGGAACAAACATCAGGTGGAAGTGAAAGACCGAAGTTTGGCAGGTCCATTACGTAGTTTGAACTGGAAGTACTATCAGGACTAGAATAAAACCCCAGAAAGCTGTAAAATCCGAAGAGATAAGGAACCTAATTTATTTAAAAAATTGAGTCCTCTTGATCATGACAGCAACAGCAATCTTATCGTTAGTTTCCAGTGCGAAAAGTTTCATGGTATCAAGACAAATACCGCCAAGTTCACATCTCAAATTTAACAGAAAGCTGCAAACAAACGTCTCGTCAAGAGCTGACAAGTTTCAATGAATTAAACGAGCGATCCGAAAAGTTATGCAGTGTCATTATCATATTTTTTCGCTAGCATGTAATAATACTCATTGTTATTTGTTCGACTAATTTGACGAGATGAGCTTAAGCATTACTGAGTGTAAGCCTGGATAATGAAGTTTCCTCCAAAGCAAACATCTAACTTAAGAAAAGCGATACGTACGAGTTTATAAGCTATTTTCACTCAGTGTGCTGTAAGCATCAGATCCAATAGAGTTAGTGATTCTTGACGTGTGCATGACGAGCCGTTGATCAAAGCAACAACAATAATAAACGAATTGAAATTGCGAAGTGAAATGAAATGATTTTTTTGTTCGATGAATGAGAGCGAAGCACAGACCCAT